GAACAAGTTCGTGCTCTTTGATAACAGACATTCTGCAAACAGGTGAGAAGGCCAAGAGCTCACAGCCCAAACCCAACACCTTACGAATCACGCAAAAGGGGGACTAGAAAGAGGAGGGAGCAACAAAACACAGGCCAAACAAACTATCATGTTCATTCTACAGATCTTAGCTGATTCAATTAACTTTCATGATTTTTCAGCTAGATACTGATTGTTTTTTCCAAAGCAGAATAGTGAGGAAGACTAGCTTATAAAAATGTTATGCCACCCTGTGACAGACAGCTATATGAGGGCAAATCAAGAACATCACAGTTATTTTGAACCAGTTGCAGCTTCACCCCACAAAGTTCTTTCTAATCTACAGGACATCACAACTAACAAAAGGAAAACATTCACTTGCTTGTAGTCATGATATCTGTATCTGGTTGTTGATTTGTAATTACCAATGTATCCAAGATTTTAAGCCCCTGCTGTCAAGATTTGAAGCCCCCGCTGTCCTTAAATGTATTGTACTTTATCTCCCTTTTTTTATTACTTGACAATGCCCAAGCTAAACAGAACTTTGCCTAAACACTGTTTGTTCCGTTTTTCCCCTGTGTGGTCTACTTAATCATGGATATAATAAAAAAACCAATATAGACTTGCTACTAACAGAGTTCATGCCTACTTCAGATTACTAACTTTTTTTAAAGAAACAAGCCCTTACTACTATTTCTGTCTTAGAAGATGAGTAAAATTCTTGATTCCCTCCAATACTTCAAGGTTCTATATGAAGTTTGTATTATTCTGTGATTCAAAATGGTGTCCAATTGACCCAATACATTCATTCAAAGCCAATAAAGCCAAAGCCTTGCTTGTATTTTGATTTTAGCATGTCTGATTCAGATAAAATTAAGAGACTTGCATAGGCTAATTAAAAAACTGTAAAAGGAAGCATGGACATTTAAGAAATTCTGGGTTTGGAAGCTACCACAAATCTGGCACTATGTATCATTTTCAGATGATATTTGACATTTAAATAAGGCTCAGAGTTGGTTTGGGTTGGTTTTTTTTTTTAAGAAATATTCTTAGAGTCAGACATTTGGGGAAAAAGCAGCTCTACTGCTTAAAACCCCCCTTCTCTGTAATATAACTGAGATATTGCACA